TCGGAGACGGACCGGCGCGCCCGCGCGCACCCGCCTCCCCGCCCCGAACCCCGCGCTCCGAGCTGTTCCCCTGAGAACGTCCCGAGAGCCGCGGGGCGCCCTCCTCCCTCCGAGCAGGGCCCGCACTTGCCGCGTGATGCCGGCCGCCCAGCGTGACCCCAGCAGCGGCGCAGCCGAGGGCGAGCTACAAAAGGGCCATTCTGTGCCCGGGCGCTACAAAGGGGCAGTCAGTGCGGATCCGGCCCAGGGGACATGCGTGGCAACTTCGCTGGACCCCACCCGGCCCGGGGCCAGCCAGACTGCAGCCTACGGCGCCGGGGTCTGTTTATGTCAACTGAGTTGTTTGACGTATGCAAAGTAATTATGCCGAAACAAATATTTGGCCCTCCATATTTCAGGACACCGTGCTAAGTATGATCAAATGCCAGGCCTCACCCTCAGGCCTGCTTTTGTGCTCTGCCCCAGCTTGAGGGCTCTGTCACCTGCTGCTGAAGTCACTCTCAAGAAGCCCCTGAGGTGCTCGGCTGCTTCGGCAGCACATATACTAAAAGAGGCCCCTGGGTTCCACCCCGAGGGACAGATGACTGTCCTGGATGCACTCTGGGCGAGAAGAGAAACAGAAATTTGAAATCTTTTTGCTTCCCAGTTCCCAGGACAGAAGGAAAAAGTGCGTGGGCCTCTGGTCACAGAAAACAGCCCAGATACATGGACGTGGCTGTCTCACTCAGTTCAAGGACACGCGGGCCACTTTACCAGAGTGGGCTCCAGAGCGCCTCAGTGTGGAGCGGGCCACAGGGGCGCTGTGCCGCCCGCCAGGCCCAGGCCCTCTCTTCCCGTGCCCGGGCAACCTGGCGAAGGCAGACCCAGCTTGGGCGGTAGGAGGGCCCTCTGCCGCGGCCAGTCTGTCCTCAGGCGTGAAGGCTGGGGACAGCCCATCCCCCCAGCCCCGTCCGGCACAGCGCTCTCCTCTCTGCAGCACCTCACAGCCCTGTAGTTGCCCTTTTAAGTGCAGAGCACCTCAACTTGCATTTTTGCTCCAGGCAGAGGCCTCAGAGCTTGCAGCTCTGCAGGGAGTGACAGGTTTCCTACCAAGGCAGAGGGAACCTCCTGGATGCCTTGGAGAACTCCACGCAGAGAAGTGATGTCACCCCGTCCCTGCACCCGGTCTCACCTCTCTGCCACTGGGTTCCTAGCACCCGGGAGAGTCAGAGGCCTCAATTTGTTTTCTGATAATGGAATGATGAGGACAGGCCTGTGAGAGTTCATTCACACCAAGGCGAGGACGTGCAGGTCTGTTCAAGAAAGACATGGAAATCACAGAAAAGATTTATGAAGAACAGACAATACGCTAACCACCCATCTCCCCCCCAACCCCCGCAACCCAGAAAGTGTCTCAAGTTCTGAAAAAGAAGCCACAGCCAACTGGGCGGGTAGAAGAAAATGTAAGTACAACACAATGAGCTAACTGAGGAGACAGAAAAGAAGACCGGTATTGGATATGAACTCTGACAGAACTAGGTACCACTGATGGGAAAACACGTTTTGAGATCCTACCCAATTCTTTCTCATAGTAAACTGCTCTAGGGGAAGGAAAGTTTTTAGTGGTCATTAAAAAACATAATTACTCCTGGAAAATATTTTTTCACTGATCTAGGCTTTATGTGCTTTAAATATATATATATATATATGCTAAAATGGTCTCTTTAAAGCAGTGCACTTATCTTGCATGTGCTAAAATTTAATTTAGATTTGGCTGAGAGACCCAGATATCTTCTCTGAGAAGGCGACAGATGCATTTTCATGTCAGACCCTAGACAAGGCTTTCAGGATGCAAAGCTTTAAAGATCCAGAAGCAGAAGTCGTGTGCTGATTCTTTAACTTTCTGTAGCCAAGACACCAAAATGCGTGTCTTGATGGAGAACGAGCTGTAGGTGTGGAAACCACCTCTCATCCTCGTTTCCCACAGACTTCTTCTTCACCCTCCATACTACTCCTAGTTGTTCCTGAACCCAAGCGGGGGTCAAAATCTTGTGCACCTTCATCACGCTGTCGTGAAAGACCTCTTGTTTAACATTTCCCCAAATCAAAGACTGTTTCATCAGATCATCAACAGTAACGCAGGCCAACTTCTATTTATTTATAATGATAATAAATATTATTTATTTATAAATCATGTGGATAAAAGACATTGTCAAAAACCAGATAAATATTGCAGCAATCATTGCTCTAAAATTTATTATTTCAAATCTCATCTTGTAGAACATGTTTTATTTATTTATTTTTTTCACTTAGGGCATATGTGCCTTAGAGTATGACTCAGTATCCTGATTGTTAAAAACCATCTGGCCCCATTTGATAGCTCCGTTTCCCCCTGGAATGCTGAGTTTTTCATATATTTGCTAGCTTCACAATATTTAAATCAAAGCTAATATTTGACACACATACTTTGGAAAGGGGATGGCATAGCTATGTAGTGAAAGGCATTAGGATGTTTATTCTGGAGAAGTTAAAGGAAATTAGAATGGATATCCAAGAGGGGATCTTCACGGGCCTGGGCTGTACTTAGTACATTGCTGTGGTGGGTACCACTAGAAAAACCACTGCAGGAAGATTTGGATGTCATTAGGAGAAGACTGCTGATTATGGCTTATGCCAGGATGGTCTGACTCAGCCAGGAGTTAGATGATCTATCTGGGGTGTTAGAAGGGAGTTTTCTAAAAAGAATAGTGAAATTTTGTATCTCTAAGGAAATTCCTCCAAAGCCAAGCTCTCTGATCTCAGGAGCTGTTTGCAATATGAATTCATGAGTGCTTGGCCCTTGGGCTACACCATCACAACACTGCAGGCGCCGTCTTGATGTCTGTGTTTTCCCTCTGCGGGGACAGAGCAAGACTTGCTGAGGTCTTTAGCTAAGGAGATAATTTTCAATCGTTTCAAGATTTTTTTCCTTAGAAAGCAAATCAACTGCCAAATGTTAAACTGTTACTCAAAGAATTCCAGCTAACTCCACATAAGAAACTGTCTCTCCATGTAGGAGTATTTTAGGGCTTGTGATATTTCCTTTATCTGCTAACTACCTCTGAGGGTATAGGCAGCAACTCTTAAATTGGAGACAACAGTGATAATTAGCATTTATTGAGCCAAACTAGCCCTTTATATACTCTCTCATTTAATCCTCATAGTAGCACTATGAGCTATAATTTGTTTTAAATATGAGGAATTGGAAAAGGTAAAGTAATTATTAACGTGGTAGAAGTCGAATTTGAGCACAGGGCTGAGTCCAAAGCCAGTGTTCCTTCCGTTGTTCTGTGTTGCTTTCCAACACATCTTACTCTGGACAGGAGTCCTCCCACCCAGTTCTCAATCCTTATGGGCAAGAATCCATGGCCAAGTTATTGAGATTTGGAAAGAAGATGGGTTGCTACCCAAGTTGGTGAACCTCCAATGGCAGAATGCCTGGCTTGTACCAGTTGGTGCAATGATTTTCCATTGCTTCTGTTTTCTGAGCAAGGATCTCCTCCATGGATATTTTACATCATATAGGCAATACTTATACAGAGGCAGCCCCAAAGATTTAATAGTTATGAAAGGACTTAAGTATACCTTTAGCAAACTAACTTGCAGATGCATAACAGTGGGAGAAGTCAGAATATGTTTTAAGATGGAAATCATAAGAAGGCAATGAAAAGTGTGTGAGTTCTAATCAGGCTATAATCACGCTTGAGCTGATGAAAGAATATAGAACCTATGCTACAGAACAAGGTGGCTAAGAGCACAGAACATACAGGAATGGGAAGAAAATGAATTCATGAGACAGTACGCTAGGGAGGCAGGGAATCCATATGAAAAAACAGAACGGCTTGAGTTACCACAATGCCTGAGAAGAGGAATTCATAAAAGATGCTTTGTTTTTCCCAGCAACTTATTCTCCCTCCATAAACTTAGTCCTTCTGTGATTATTCTTGCCACCATCTACCAAGATATAAAGCTTTGTAAGCTTGACAAAACCCATGTCCATTGTGTTTATATACTTTAAGTAATTGGAATTTTTTCTGACCACACAAGTCAAATTACTTACTAATTATAGATTTATAAAATAGAATTCAAAACAGAAATCACCTCAGAGGCAAGGTTATTAGCTAAATCTTTTTTTTTGGTTTTTCTCCGGTACCGGGAACCGAACTCACGACCTTGCGCTTGCCAGGCAGGCCCTTTGCAGCTGAGCTAAATCCCCAGCCCCGGTTATTAGCTAAATCTGAGGGAACTAAGGATTTATGAGAAAGGCTTGTATTTCTAGTTTTTAAAAAATATTTACAGTAAACATTGATTAAATTTGTACAAAAAAATCCAGTGAAGTGCTTTTCACCTTGAAAAGTTGAAATGCTTTAGAGTACTCTAAGAACTATGATCATTTTAAGGCGTTCTTGGGTGGGTTTAGCTCCTAACCCCTCCTGTGGCTTCCTTTTCAGGTCCTTCTTGGACATTCAGTGAGATATTTTAGACAGTATGAATATTTCACTGTTTGCCTTTCTTCTATTTGAATCATGCAACAGAGAATTGGAATTCTTGGTTTAAAGGGGCAACTGATGGATGGTCCGTGTTCTAAAAGAAAGCAGGTGGATGAGGTCTTCAGGCCCTCTGACTGGCTTCCCAGGGTCCTGAACAATCTTTCCAATTTCATACTGAATGACCGTCTCAGTTTAAAAGAAGAACTTCCAGTTAAAGATAATTATTTCAAACTTATCAGATATTGAAATGAAAATTCTTTCCCAGCAGGGTGGTTTGCTCTGTTCCAAAGGGAGATCAGTTCCTGGGAAATTGCTGCTGTATCTGATTTGAAACGCTCTAGATTTCACATACAAGAAGTTCAACATACTTAGTCTCTGGTCAACATCCCAGACTCCTGCCCGCTTTATCTAAGAACGGAGATTGATTTTCAAAGTCTAATTTAATGAAAGTAATCAGAAAAGACCAAATCTAACTTGGGTAAGTTACAGAATACATCCTTACTACATCTAATACATCCTTAGGACAATTGTATTATCCCACCGCTGGGTTCCATGGGAATAAATGGGTTGCTCTTTCATCAAAAGAAAAACTTCAGAGGGATTGTTCTGCAGTTGGTGTTAGTTATCTTCTCTTTTCTAAGAGCAATATTAAAATCCATATCCCATCACCCTTCTATGGGACCAAGTTAAAGATAAGGCAGGGGTGGGGGATAGAAACAGGGGAAACGAACATTACTCAGATTAAATTACCTACAGAAAAAGATCAGAAAACCTCAGAAAACAAATAATATATATATGTATATACAGAGATGAAGTAATGACTTCTTAGCAATACACCATTGGTGGAGAAAAATCTATACACCACATCTGATCATAAGAAGTAACCCAACTATGATTCATCCTTGTAGAACTGCAATGGCTGGAATATTTGTGACCCCAAATCCTTATGTTGAAACTCTATTCCCTAATGTATTTGGTGATGACTATGCCAGGAGAGGGGAACCCTCATGATGGGATTGGTGCCCTTAGGCGAGGATGCGTGAGAGCTTGCTTCCCTTCTTCCTTTGTCCATCTTGTGAGGACACAGCTTTCTTTGCCATCTGCAGACCAGGAAGAGGACCCTCATAGAGCTCAAGTTTGCTGCCACTCTGATCTCAGATGTCCCTCTCTCCAAAACAGCAAGAAATACATAAACTTTTCTAGTTTAAGCCCCCTGCCCAGGTTATGGTATGTTTGTCACAGCAGCCTGAGCTAAGATAAAGGCTGACTCTTTTATTTTGTGAATACTTTTGAATAAATTCTGTCTTCCAATATTGTCACCTTCAAAGACAAACAAAAAGTGCTATGGCAGCCATGATTTATTTGTACAACTTTAAGGCTATTAATATTTTTCCCATAAAGCCTCCTGTGTAACAGTCCTACCCCTGAAAATCATCTTCTCTGAGGCATCCAGCTAATATGCTGTATTTCCGCCCAAACAAGTTAGGCCCAGGGGGAGTTGCCAGGTAGATTAAATTAACCCAAGTCTCCAGAGGGAAAAGCACATAATATCATGGAGTAGCCGATCCCAGTTCACAATGCCCAAACACTTCCTCAAATGTAATGGGATAGAAAATGCAGATGTCTTTACTATTTGCTTTAAGAGGCCTATTTCTCCACTGTTCCAACCTCAGATCATTTCTAATGTTAGTCACCTGGTGCTCAGAGAAACTGAGACGATCAGACCCTGATCTCCCACAATGCTGTTAGAGTGCTTGCTGCTTCTAGTGAGACAGTCTCTTCTA